ATTTTTTATTCTATATTATAAAATATTACACAACACATATAACATATACACAATGTATAAACTGTCACACAATTTACCATTTTTTTAAAAATTAATTTACAAATTTAACTGATCTAGAAAATCGATTGTAACACGCACAGAAAAATAGCACAAAATGTTACATATTTGTTCTACTTGTAGTTTGATCATGTTGCGTCCCGCGGAATGATAAAGGCTACACTAACGTAGAATACTTTCATCAAAGATAAGAAAGCATTTCAGCTTACTAGTTTCAGTTAATAATCTAATCTGATTATTTTTATTTGTAGACGTTAATACAGACGTACAATACAGATATAATTAGAGCATATATGGGAGAACATTGTTAGATTAAAATTGAGTAGAAAATATCTTTGCAAATATGCTATAAGATGAATATTATTATACACATCATTACTTATGTACATAATTGTAAACAATACATGGAAAAAAACACGGCGTTGTTAAAGTATCTAAAAATTTAGCTAGATACGAATCTAAAAATAATTTTGTTATATTATCAAAATAATTATGCAAGACGATTAAACTAGTTGCTAGAATATCAAAACAGTATTGCCGATTGCGCTTAAGATCACGGTCTAATAAAGTTATTTTTAGATTTGTATCTGCTTTTATGTAATAGTGAAATTTTTAAATACTTCAGCAAAATTGTTCTTTCTGTGTATAATCTATAGAAAGATAATATACATCCAATAGTAATACAAAATCAGAGCAGTTATAGCCCAGCTGGTTGATGTTTGCTGATAATTTATTAATATGATACTACGTTTACTATACATTTAGGCCGTTTATCTTGCAGGTTAAACAAACACTTATCGTATAGGTCGCGGATTAAGCGCACGATATAAATGTAGCCACAATCTCTCACGAAAGGATTCAAACATAAATGTAATTTTGTTCAATGAATAAAATAATCGATAATCTAATTAGCATGTCAACGGTATAATCTTATGCAAAGAGATCTTCTGTCTATATGTTATATTGTCAGTCTATATGATCTTCATAATGTGTTTCTTGTGATTCATTGGCGTCCTATCTCATTGTGTGTCAAATTTGATGTATACAATTCACACACACACATAAACATATATAGGTAGATATTAGTTCCCAATTCTATATAATACAATTTATTTATATGTGTAAGTATTATAAAGTTTATTAAACTAAAATTTTTAATTATAATATGAATACCTGTGATTCCAATGTTAACAGAAATTTCGTTAATCTTAAAAATAATAATGCGACATTCCTTCTCGACAAAACATTGACGACTGATGTTATATCGTGTAATTCTATTTGTTGTGGTAATGATAATCATGTAGGGTACAACAAATCTTCTACATGATTATATGCTCATTACCACACAAATAAATGGAATCACACATATAACATTAGTCGTCAATGTTCTATCAAAAAGGAAAGAATTAAAAATTTTAGTTTAATAAACTTTAACACTTACACATATATAAATTGTATTATATAAAATTGGAAACTGTAATTTCTCTGTCTATCTATGTCTATAAATTGTATATTATACATCAAACTTGACACACTATAAAATAGGACGCCAGTGAATCACAAAAAACACATTACAAAGATCACGTAGACTAACAATATAATGAAAAGATTTTGCGTAAGATTATACCGTTGACATTAATTAGGTTATCGATTATTTTATTCATTGAAAGGGACCACATTAATAGTTAAAATGTTTAAATCTATTTTATGATTGTATCATATTAATAAATTATCACCAAACCAGCTGGGCTATAATAGCTCTGATATTTTTATATTCTATCGAATTTTATTCAATATAGCTAATAATATATTGTAATAATAATTATAATATACATTCATAGGAAAATAATATACATTCATATTTATTATATTACTTAACTGCTTTATTAAGTATCAATAATTAATTATCAAAATCTTATAATAAAGCTTTTATAATGATATTACAAAAAAGTTATATATTACGTTAGTCTTATATGAGTATTTTATATTCGGCAATAATCAAATTTTTTGTATTCTAATAATTAATAATAATTAATAATAATACGTGGCACTCAGAGTATTACAAATTTATTGTATATCAATTATTTCAG